TTAGGGAAAGCCAGCAGGGAGCTATTGAAAGAGCTGGCAAGGACCCAGGTTGCAATAGGCCAGTGCCTGTCAGACATGTGAAGTTACTTTCATCGCTGGGGGTCAGTGTTGTTGAATCAGCAGGGAGCAAGAAGGAAAACTGGCCACAAGCAGAAAGCAGGAGTGAAATGATCCAGACAAAACTCCCAGGGCAGGATCTGCCCTCCTTGGAGACTCCTGACTGCGGGAAGATGGATGCTGACCGTGTTCCCTGTAAGCTGAGCATGTGGGCAGCTGCCCAGAAGAGATTCAAACTCCACCCAGTCAGTCAGCAGAGTGCCCACTGCTAGCAGTGTGGTGGTGCACATCCACACATGCCTCTGCGCATAGAACAAAATTTATTCCACACACACATGGAAACATGAGAGAGAGCATTGGCTGCAGAGACATCCTAACTCAAGGCCCTCTTCCCAGCATTCCATTCCTGCAAGAGGAGGGTCTCTCTAATGGTTCCCAAACTGGGGGAGAGTGAGCCCTCCCCCTCCACCCATCAATCACCCCATCAAGAAAGAGCCCACTGGAACACGCGCAGCTAACGCTGGCTGGGGCAGATTTCAAAATGGCCGCTCTTAAAGGGGCAATCCCTTTTTTTTTTTTTTTGCAAGTTTTGCTGCTATTGGGGGGGGGGAAGGAGAGAGAGAGTTTATAAAAAATCCGAAAAGTTTGGGCACCACTGCTCTAATGGATCCCTCGCTGCCTTTCCCCTTTGCTCTGCAGGTTCACGGTCTGGGGCCCGGATGCCCATGACGGCTGTGGCGTGGTAAAAGGGAAGCAGATCTACGCGGATACCTGCAGCGCCGAATTCAGATGGATTTGCCAGAAAGCCGCTGTCGTGCTGCGAGGGGACTAAGAGCTGCCGAGCGAACCTGCCTGGTGTTGATGTGTTCAAACGGGGGGTTTTGTATAGCCATGTCGCCCCCTTCCTCTGAACTAGCATGGCGCAATGACTGGAAAAAGGAGGGAATTTGAGTTCTCAGTCTAGTCCCTGTGCAGCAAGAGAAGAAGCCAGGAAAGGTGGATTCTGTTCCTGCCATGAGCACCTGTAACCTCTTTCCTTGTGCCGTGCCTCAGTTTCCCCACCTATAAATGTGCGAGCTCTGTGTCTGTTCAGCGCCTGACTACCCAGGGTTCTGTGCGCATGCCAGCCTTTCAGTATCCCCGTTTTATGAGTGGGGAAACTGAGGCACCTCAATCGCAACAGCTGAGTCCTAATGTCCTATTCTGGTTCCGCCAATGAAGCGCCCTGTCTAGACCCCAACCTAATTTCTCCTTCTTGACATCCCCAATTGGACTCCTGCCTCGCTGTCCGGCCTCACACTGGGGCTCAAGAGTCACTCACTCACCATCTCTGGCCCACTTCACAGGCCAGTTATTGGGAGTGGGAGTGGGAGACACAGTCTTTAAATCAGCCAGAGGAGAATTTGACGGGGAACCCCCCACCTCCTCGGTGAGCACCAGGGGCACCTGACGCCCGGAGAGGGGCTCCCAGCTGTGGGGTGCCAGCACAGAGAGGTGCCTCCTGGTCGCCCGTGTAGACACTGAACTCTGTGAGGAGAGCAGGGCTGAGGACACCCCCCACCCCCGCATCTCCTAGGGGCTGGCTTAGGTGGCTCTTCACCTACTGGGCTGGCTGCTGCGGGTCCCATTCGGGCGTATTCCTCTCCCCCTCCCCATGCATTATCCAGGAAACCGAGGTGCCTGACCCAGGCTTGGGGGGGTCCCAGTGACATTTCTAGGCACCTGTCATTTGGGGGAGGCGACACTCGGCTTTGTAACGCCCAAGTCCCGTCCCCCCTCTGGCCCCAGCTCCACCTGCAGCATGTCCCTCACCTCGCTGCCGGGCTGTGAGGCCTGCCAGGAGCCCTGGGGCTGCACGAGCCGACAGCCACACGCGTGTGGGAGCCACCCCGGAAGGTCGCTCCGTGCGACTCGGTCGGCCAGAGACTGGAGCCCGCGGCAAGGGGCCCACGTAGGAGGAACGTGGGATGGGACAGACCCGGCTAGAAGGGGAGAGCCGGCTGAGGAGGCAGGAAAGGGCCGTGGATGTGGGACCCACACACGTAAGAGACACAGGGAACAGCCGGCCCAGAATCCTGTGTCCATCCTGCCTGAGTGTGAGGGTTTCCTATTGGCAGGTGTGTGAGAGCTTGGCCTTTTCTCTGGGACGTGAGCCAGGCCCCTTTCATTGTCTCCAGGCCCTTGAACACCCTCTGGGGACGGGAGAGGGCAGGGCCAGCCCCGGGCGTCCGATGATAACGTCATGGCCATTGACAGCCGTGTAGGCGGGGGCGCCGATCACGCGTTCTGTCTGGGGCGCCAGCTGCTAGAGCCGGCCTCGGGCTGCTCCTGCCTGCTGCACACACATGCGCGTGCACACCCCCCCACACACACACATACACACACACACACGACCTGCAGCACACACACATGACAAGCAGAATATGCACACACACGACCTGCAGCACACACACACACACACACATGCATGACCTGCAGCACAAACACACACACACATGGTCTGTAGCATGTGCATGCACATACACACACACAGACACGCGACCTGCAGCACACACACGCGCATGCACACACATACACACACACACAAACGCACACACACGACCTGTAGCACGCACACATGACCAGCAGAATACGCACACACACGACCTGTAGCACACACACATGCACACACATACACACACTACCTGCAGCATGCACACATGATCTGTAGCATGTGTGCGCGCACACACACACACAGACACACAACCTGCAGCACGCGCACACACGACCTGCAGCGCACACACGCGCATGCACACACACATACACAGACACACACATGCACACACATGACCTGCAGCACACACACACTACCTGCAGCATGCACACACGATCTGTAGCATGTGAGTGCACACACACAACCTGCAGTTGGTGCATAGATACCAGGCCACGGTGGCTCATGTCCATCCTATTGGCCAGGCCAGGCTGGCTGAGCGAGGAGTCGGGGTCCTCTGAGGCTTGGCTTGTTGGACTGAACCCAGAGTCCCACGGCCAGAGTGTTCCTTCTTATCCATGTCAGTTCCCCTCGGAGTCTATGGGTTTTGCAGCGTCATGCTGCCCTCATCTGCCCTTCGGAGGTGGCCATTTCTGTTCCTTTGACGGTGATTGCCAGGGGTCCCAGCGTGTTGTCTCACTCCCGGAGAGGTCTCTGCCTGTCTCCAGGGTTCGGCCATGCTGCCAATTCAATTCAGGCTCAAGGCACAATGGATGTGTCCAAGTTCCCACCTCTTCTTATCACCTGGGCATCTGGTCTGGCTTTCGCTCACACCCCCCCTCCACACACACCACACAAGTGTACAGAGTTTCAGACAAGATCAGTAGCTACAAGGGGTGCAACTTAATTTGCAATACGTAACAGGGAGCAAGGCCTTGCAGTAACATTACCTCATCATGGGAGACAGAGAGAAATAGAAATGACAGAATGTATAAGCAAGTCATTAGACATGGAGAATAGGAACAGAGATGTCGCTGTGTTAGTCTGGTCTTGCTGAAACAAAAGACAGGACTGTGTAGCACTTTAAAGACGAACAAGATGGTTTATTAGGTGATGAGCGTTCGTGGGCCAGACCCACGGGCTACATCTAGACTGGCATGATTTTCCGGAAATGCTTTTAACAGAAAAGTTTTCCGTTAAAAGCATTTTCGGAAAAGAGCATCTAGATTGGCACGGACGCTTTTCCGCAAAAAAGCCCACGAAAACTCATCACCTAATAAACCATCTTGTTAGTCTTTAAAGTGCTGCATAGTCCTGTCTTTTGTTTCATTATACACAGGAGCGACCTGAGGCCGGCTGCGGCAGCTGGCACCCCAAGCGGAAGGCGTGATCGGCGCCCCCGCCTGCACAGCTGTCAATGGCCATGACCTAATCACTGGGCGCTGCCTAGGCTCATGGGCCACCCCTGATTATACATGGAATTATACATCATACTTGTAGTCTTATACCCAATACTAACTAAAATAGACATTGTTGCTACACCTGAACCTTCATCTAGTGCCTGGCTCTCTGCTAGGGTTCCCAGGTGTCTGGTTCCCAGCCGACCCTGGGCTCCTTTGCCTTCATCCGTACACTACCTACAGCGCCAGGCAAGAGGTCGTGGTTCCGTCTTTTCCCACGTGTCGGAACACCACCACGGACATAGCCGGTGTGAAGGGCCTAATCGCTTCTAGTGACATCAATCAAGACGTGTGGGTTGATCCTGCCCGTTCCCTCCCACCAATTATTGTTACTAAGCACAATTTATAGCAGAGAGAGACTTGGTCATTCTAATACTATTGACCGATTGATGACGTATTGTGTAGGATACGTCAGATGCCCAATGCCCCTAAGTTGGGGTGTGTGCTGCTGCTCAGGATGTTGCTGCTATGGGCGCAGTTGACAGTTCTGTGGTTGCATCTGTACTTTTTGTGTATCAGAAACAAGTACCAGTCCAAGGCCTCTTGTCCTGTGGTCTCCCGTACCAGGCTTAATCTGCATTGTTATGCAAAACAATTCCTGACTCTTGGGCCCTTTCTGTGCGCTTTGTTACATCAAACTTGAGCGGGCCGTAAATCTGCACTTTGGACAAGACAGACATCACCGGGCATTGCCAAAGCAGGGTAGTCCAGGCTCCCCTAAAGATCCTAGCCGGAGCTGGGCCACACAGACTGATTCTAGACCGGCACCGACACATGCCTGGCTCTCCTTCCACAGCCCAGCCGGGGCAGAGGGAGGATGGTTAGGGGGCTGCTCTGTGATTTCAGTTCTCTACCCTGGATTTGCTGAGTGATCTGGGCAGGTCTGTGCCTCCAGCCCTGCCTCCCAGGGGTGCTGAGAGGAGAAACACCTGGTAAGATTGTGAGGCCATGGGGGCTGGCTCAGAGCCATCCCTAACCCATCAGCAGGGGGGTGAGATTCAGCCAGTGTCATGGTGTGTGAAGGATGCTGGACTAGCTGAACCTGCTGCTGGGGCAAAATCCTAGCCCTTCCTGCTGTTTTCTTCTTCCCAGGCTGTGCTGGCCGGACATCCTGCTAAAGGAGGCAGCTGGGAGCAGTAACCCAGAGAGGATCCCACTGAACAACTTCTCAGCGTGTTTCTGAGGGCGGTGCTAGGAGCCATGCCCCGGGTGCAGGTGACTCACACAGAGCTGGTTACACTGTTACTTTAAATAACTTTTGGCCTTAGCAGGGCAGCCTGATGAGAGCCAGGGGCTGTGAGTCAGCCCTGCAGGAATGTTTGCACTGTGAGAACCCGCCCTGTGTCCTAGGCTGGCAGCCACATCGCTCTTAGAGACGTGCTTCCTGGAGCTGACTGGGGAGATGGACAATGTGGGGTTTCCTCAGTGCACACCCAGCTGGAGGTCACTTGGAAGGTGGAACAGGCACCCGCTTCCGTAGCAAGGTGAGGTTTGTTTTCTCTGGAAGCCAAATTTAGTGTTTGTGTGTGTTCCTGTCCTGACTGATGTCAAGGCCCTCTTATGCCGGGCGCTGCACAGAGACACAGCGAGAGACAGTCCCTGCCCCAGCGGAGATCAGGGCCCCATTGTGCCAAGGACTGCACAGACACAGTGAGGGACAGTCCCTGCCCCAGGTGGGATCAGGTGATCCTAAACAGGGCAGGGAGATTGCAAGTGACCAATGTCCAGCAGGGGGCACCAGAGAGCAGCGAGCAGGCAGCTGATGAGTGATCATTGGCCAGCAGGAGGCGCCAGAGAGTAGCGAGCAGGCAGCTGGCGAGTGACCGATGGCCAGCAGGAGGCGCCAGAGAGCAGCGAGCAGGCAGCTGATGAGTGATCATTGGCCAGCAGGAGGCGCCAGAGAGTAGCGAGCAGGCAGCTGGCGAGTGACCGATGGCCAGCAGGAGGCGCCAGAGAGCAGCGAGCAGGCAGCTGATGAGTGATCATTGGCCAGCAGGAGGCGCCAGAGAGTAGCGAGCAGGCAGCTGGCGAGTGACCGATGGCCAGCAGGAGGCGCCAGAGAGCAGCGAGCAGGCAGCTGATGAGTGATCATTGGCCAGCAGGAGGCGCCAGAGAGTAGCGAGCAGGCAGCTGGCGAGTGACCGATGGCCAGCAGGAGGCGCCAGAGAGCAGCGAGCAGGCAGCTGATGAGTGATCATTGGCCAGCAGGAGGCGCCAGAGAGTAGCGAGCAGGCAGCTGGCGAGTGACCGATGGCCAGCAGGAGGCGCCAGAGAGCAGCGAGCAGGCAGCTGATGAGTGATCATTGGCCAGCAGGAGGCGCCAGAGAGTAGCGAGCAGGCAGCTGGCGAGTGACCGATGGCCAGCAGGAGGCGCCAGAGAGCAGCGAGCAGGCAGCTGATGAGTGATCATTGGCCAGCAGGAGGCGCCAGAGAGTAGCGAGCAGGCAGCTGGCGAGTGACCGATGGCCAGCAGGAGGCGCCAGAGAGCAGCGAGCAGGCAGCTGATGAGTGATCATTGGCCAGCAGGAGGCGCCAGAGAGTAGCGAGCAGGCAGCTGGCGAGTGACCGATGGCCAGCAGGAGGCGCCAGAGAGCAGCGAGCAGGCAGCTGATGAGTGATCATTGGCCAGCAGGAGGCGCCAGAGAGTAGCGAGCAGGCAGCTGGCGAGTGACCGATGGCCAGCAGGAGGCGCCAGAGAGCAGCGAGCAGGCAGCTGATGAGTGATCATTGGCCAGCAGGAGGCGCCAGAGAGTAGCGAGCAGGCAGCTGGCGAGTGACCGATGGCCAGCAGGAGGCGCCAGAGAGCAGCGAGCAGGCAGCTGATGAGTGATCATTGGCCAGCAGGAGGCGCCAGAGAGTAGCGAGCAGGCAGCTGGCGAGTGACCGATGGCCAGCAGGAGGCGCCAGAGAGCAGCGAGCAGGCAGCTGATGAGTGATCATTGGCCAGCAGGAGGCGCCAGAGAGTAGCGAGCAGGCAGCTGGCGAGTGACCGATGGCCAGCAGGAGGCGCCAGAGAGCAGCGAGCAGGCAGCTGATGAGTGATCATTGGCCAGCAGGAGGCGCCAGAGAGTAGCGAGCAGGCAGCTGGCGAGTGACCGATGGTCAGCAGGGGGCGCCAGAGAGTAGCAAGCGGGCAGATGATTGATCAGCGGAATGAATAAAATGCCTCTTTACCAAACCATACTCCCCCTCGTTCCCCCCAAGAGGAGGTGACCTCTTGTGGAAGCCAAGGGATTTGTATGTAGCCATTTTGACCTTTTGGTTGGCCTAACTCATGCTAACTCTGAGACCTAACAACGCAGAGTACTGTGAGAGATGCTGTTTTCGCCTCTCGTCTCTCTTGTGCTTGAGATAAGGATAGAATGCTGACTCTAATGAAGACCTTGAGATAAGGTGACCTCTGAAGGGAATTGTTATGGAAAGGAGAATAATTGTTCATTGTTATTATATATAAACAGACAGTATATATATTGGCTTCTAATTGTTTTGTATTTGACGATCTGCCTAACAGCAGCTTCTTCCCTTGCAATATTGCTCGAATAAAGTGTCTCTGACTACTTGTTACTTACAAACACAGAGTGAAGGCCTGTTTCCTTCCACATTCTGCAGACACACCTCTGAACTCTGGGTCTGCAGGGGGCCCAACACAACAGGGAGTTGGGGACAGGGTTTTCAGGTGCACAGGGAGGCTGTGTCCAGACTGGCAAGTTTTTCCGCAAAATCATCTGCTTTTGCAGAAAAACTTGCCAGCTGTCTACACTGGCCGCTTGAATTTCCGCAAAAGCACTGACGATCTCATGTAAGATTGTCAGTGCTTTTGCGGAAATACTATGCTGCTCCCGTTTGGGCAAAAGTCTTTTTTTGGGCAAAAGTCTTTTTCCAAAAAACTTTTGCGCAAAAGGCCCAGTGTAGACAGCAGAGTTGTTTTCCGCAAAAAAGCCCCGATCGCGAAAATGGCCATCAGGGCTTTTTTGCGGAAAAGCGTGTCTAGATTGGCCACGGATGCTTTTCTGCAAAAAGTGCTTTAGTTTATTTTCCGAAAGATCCGCGTTTAGACTGGCGCTTTTTTCTGGCAAAGCTCCGAGCCGGAAAAAAGCGGCAGCCATTTTTATGCTAATGAAGCAGGGGGGATTTAAATTCCCTCTTCATTTGCAATTGCGATGTGTCTAATTTGCATCCCTTTTACGGAAAAGGGATGCAGTCTAGACGTAGCCAATCAGTTTCCTAGGGAAGCATCTCAGCACAACATGGTGAACCACTGCTTGACTGTGTCTTCATCCTCCTTTAGTAGCACTAGAGGATAACAACTTATTACTTCTGCACGCTAATCTGTTTTTTTATTTCCATTAGCTCAATTAGTACCACTCCATGCTTTCTCATATAGAAAGGTCCCTGGTTTAAACCTGCAAGTTTAAACCCTGCTGGATCCGTGCTGGTAGAGCGATTGTTACATTCTTTACCCCCTGGCTTGAGGATAACAGCCTACTGCTGCTGCTATCTTGTGGGTTTCATTCTTCCACTCAAGGGGTGGAAACAGCTGCGTTGAGAGCAAATGGTTCTGGTTTCAAACCCTGTTATTGGAATGGGAGTTACATTCCCAATCCCAGAAGCTGGTCTGCTACAGGATAATAACCCGCTACTGCTGCCCTCTCTTGGAGTCACTTCATTAGCTCAAGTGGGAGAGGCCAGTGTTCCCAGTGCTGAAGGATCCGACTGTGCTGCAGACACAGGTCAGGGGGTATTGTTTCAGTTCCTCAGTCTTGCTGCAACAGGTGCGTTGTGAAAGGGTCGGGTAGAGCAAACCTGAGCGTATTTTTGAGCCAGATCCTCAACCCCGTTCCAGTGGCTGTGTGGAGCAAAACTCCCTAGCATGTGCAGCTAGGCGCCAGAGGTAGGAGGACAGGGGCTGGAGCGCTGGACCCACTGGTAGCTCTAGCCCAGTGTGGGGTGGGGGGAGGTACCTGAATGCTCCTTGGAGTCAAAGCGGCCAGCTCCCCAGCTGATGTGATGAAACACTGCTCCGCTGCCATCAAAACATCCGCTTTCACTTTTTAGAAACACTGCCTCTCCTTCCTGTTCGAGGGAAAGGAGACAATGAAACGGGCCTGACTCATGTCCTAGAGAAAAGGCCAAGCTCCCAAATAGCCACAAATAGGAAACTCTGACAACCCCCTTTCTAATCTGGTATCTCCTGGGGCCAGCAGGATGGAAAACAAACCTACGCTTATCTGCTCTGAACCCAACGGGTCACTTAAGTGTGTGGGTCCCCAATCCATGGCCCTTTCCTGCCTCTTCAGCCGGCTCTCCCCTTCCAGCTGGATCTGTCCAGTTCCTGCGTTCCTCCTGTGTGGGCCTGTTGCCGTGGGATCCAGTCTCTGGTTGGCGGAGTCTCACGGAGCGACCTTCCGGGGCGGCTCCCACACGCAGCTGCTTTTGTGGAAAAACTTGCCAGTCTTGACGCAACCGCCGTGTGTTGCTTAGGAAGCGGGTGCCTGTTCCATCTTACAAGTGATCTACAGTTGGGTGTGCACGGAGGAAACCCAGCACTGTGCATAATCCCAGGGGCTCCAGGCAGCACGTCTCTGAGAGCGAAGAGGCTGCCAGCCAAACACACAGGGTGGTCTCACATTGCAGACTTTCCTGCCTGGCTAACTCACAGCCCCTGGCTCTCACGAGGCCGCCTTAGGGAGGCCAAACAATGCTTTGGAATGACCCTGTGGCCACAGCACCAGCTCTGTGGGAGTCCCCTGCACCCTGGACATCACTCTGGGTGGCTCTCACTGGTGCTTTAAAGTACTGCAACTTCCTGTGCTTGGGGAAGAAGAGGGAGTTTCTCTGAGCCAGAAAGTTGCAGGGCAGTAAATTGCCAGCGTAGACCAGGTCTGAGGGAGGGAGCAGTGGCCCCGTGGAAGCTCAGTCCCTCAGCGTTACCGCCACGAACCCCTAATGCTGCAGCCCCTCAGGAACCTGGGCCGGGTGTCTCCTCCCTGCTCCCCCTGGCTAGGCAGGCCCCAGACCTGAAATATCACATTAGACTGGGGAAGCTTTTTCCCCCCTGTCTCCCTGGGGGTGACCCCAGAACCCAGCACAGGTGGGAGGAGTGGGGGGTGCCCACCCCGCACTGACTCACCCGGGGCCCAGCGCAGGGACGGGAGGGGCTGAAGGAGGAGGATACAGGACCCCACCCCAATTCAATACCTCTCTGTCTGTCCCTCTCTTCCCCCTGCTGGAGAAAAATCTAATCCCCCCCCCCATCCCTGCCATGGGGCAGAGGATCCAGGCCTCACCCAGTGCAGAGGGAGCCCTGGGGGCAGCAGGGAATTCCAGGGGCAGCTGCAATCAGACAGCAACACCCACGGGTGCCTGTGGCCAGGCCCAGCTGGCACTGGGGGCGCCATGCCCAGGACGAGATGGTAAAGCCGCTCTGAGGGCACAGGAGTCGGCTCCCCCCAGTGACAGCTCGCTGGGCCGTGGATCGCTCCGGGCCAGTGAGCCTCAGTTCTGAGTAGCTATGGGGGGGGAGCGAAGGCCCCCGCAGTGACTGCCCCCCTCCCTCGCCTGTGTCAATGCACCCACCTGCTCCTGGCACATGCACAGTCCATGCATCTGTGCCCTGTGGGCATCTGGGCAGAGAGGTCCTTCTGCCTTCGCTCTGCTCCACAACCCTGGCACATCGGAGACGGAGCTTGGTCCTGCCTTGAGGGCGGGGAGCTGGACTCGATGACCTCTTGAGGTCCCTTCCAGTCTTATGATTCCATGATTCTATCCCCGCTGGAGGGCAGTGCTGAGTCAGCATAGCCCATTAATTTGGAGCCCGGGGAGGGTGGGAGTGAATGAGCAGATGGGGGAGGGGGATGGAGAAAGAAAGAAAAAGAAAATGTACAAAGAAAGGAAGAAAGAAAATTTACAAAGCAAGCAAGCAAGAAAACGTACAAAGAAAGATAGAAGAAGAAAATGTACAAAGAAAGAAAAAGAAAATGTACAAAGAAAGGAAGAAAGAAAATTTACAAAGCAAGCAAGCAAGAAAGTTTACAAAGAAAGAAAGAAAGAAAATTTACAAAGAAAAAGGAAGCAGAGAGGGAAAAGAGCCCAGAACTGGCCCTAAGGGAGTCATGTCAACTTTCCTGCCACTCACAGGAATTGCAACCTAAGGAACTCCCACCACACGCCAGTCTCTCTGGGGAACTCCCACCACACGCCAGCACCAGAGCAGAGCAGGACAGGTTGGATTGACCCAAGCCCTGGAGCAGATGATGTTGGCAACCAGCAGAATCCCAGGGGAATAGCTGCTTTTCGATACACCCTGCCAGGTGACCCCGGTTCCATCTATTTTTATTCCAGTCGCGTGCAGCATCAGTTTTGCTCCATGCACCGAGGCACGTGCCGATGTGCACCGCCGGGCTGCTGGCTGTGCGTGCCGAGGACGCTCTGCTGAGCAGTGTTTGAATCTCTCCTGGGTGGCTCGCCAAGCCTTCCGTTGACAGGGACTGCTAGTGGCAATTGCCCCGGCTCTGGCTAAAGGCTCACGGTCAAGAGGCAGCATCTGTCAGCGGCCTCCTGTACCAAGAAGCTCCCAGCCCTGACTTTAGGAAGCCAGCTCGGAAGTATTTCAATGGGCTCTGCTAAAAGACGGCTGGCGTGTGATACATCGGACTGCTGTGCGATCGCTTCCTCGGTGGAATGTGTGGAGAGTGTAACTAAGGAAACAGCAATACATTTACACGGGAGGCACTTGCCATCACTCTGGGATCCTACACTCCCCATAGTACTGTCCAGCCTCCATCTCTGCCTGTTGCCATGGTCCCTCGCTGGCCCTCATCCCTGCAACACTTCACAGTCCTCCTCCCAGTGCCCCTGGGAAGCAAGGCTGAGATCCCCCTCGGACGGCGGGACTCCAAAGACGGACAACGGGAACAGAGAACTAAGCCGAGATCTCAAACGTCACAAGCTAGTATACTTAGTACTGAACCCTGTGGGGCTAACAGCCACCACAGGTCCTGGGGCAAGGTGTGTGTGGGGAGTAGAGGAGGTGTGGAGGAGGTGGAGCCTCAGGAGGAGGGGGTGGGGCCTTAGGTGGAAGGGGCAAGTGTGATGGACCGGACCGGGTCTGGGTACCACTGAGGGCGTCCGGTCAGGGCAAATTGCTCAAACTCAGGGCTCCTTACAGCCCCAGACTGGAGGCCGTTCCCAAGTAGGCTACAAACGAGTCACACCGAGAACTTCAGCTGCCAATCCGGCCAGCAAGAAACCTCACAAGCAAAACCCCTCAGACATCCCAGCTCACCCTGTGCCCCAGTCAGCCCCTGCACACAGGTGAGTGGCCTGTACACAGGTGAGGGATTATTGAACCCAATCGCACCTACTCTGAATGGGTCTTTCCGGTCCCAAAGAACCAGCCACAAATCCCCGGTCAATTTACACTTTGGATCCTACCCACCAGATCACGCTGGGCCGATCCTTTAGAATCGAAAGGTTTATTACTAAAAGAAAGAAAAGCCCGAGAGTAAGGTCGTTACGGAGAATACATCACCCGCGTAGAATCACCCAGTTCTCAATGCAGGCTCTTGGCAGATACAAACTGCTGGCTTAAAAGTCTCTGGTGTACATCCTGTGTCAGGATAGGCCAACGATTCTCCCCGGATCGCTGTTGCGCACAAGGCTGCATCTGGGATCAGTAGCAGAGTTGAAGGCCAGATGGAGTCCGCCTCGTGGCATTTTATATCCATCCCTGGTCTTTTCCAAGCTGGATCAGGTCACATGGCCCAGTGACCTGTCCTTGTGTCCCAAGTCATGATATTAGCTGGTTTGCAGGTCCCACTCATAGACTTTAAGGTCAGAAGGGACCATTATGATCATCTAGTCTGACCCCCTGCACAGTGCAGGCCACAGAATCTCACCCACCCCTCCTAGAATAATCCTCTCACCTAGATCTCAGATATTGAAGCCTTCAAATACTTTGAAGGCCCCAAGATGCAGAGAATCCTCCAGCTGTGATCCTCAGGTGTGGATCGGCCTCTCTGACAGCCTCGTTCCTGGAGCCTTGCTAATTAGCATAGTCATTCTTTGCCCAGATAGACAGCATCAACACAGAGCCCATATTTAGAACGCCACATACAGACATTATACAAGTACATAGACTCATAGGCTGCATCTAGACTGGCAAGTTTTTCCACAAAAGCAGCCACTTTTGCGGAAAAACTTTCCAGTCTAGACTCAGCCATAAGGTTTTGGTTTTTTTCATCTACTTGATGAGAGAACTCTAAGGAGCCTACATCCCTTAGAAAACAATTGCAAGAGTTTCTTGCTTTCTGCAGGCAAAGGAGCAACTAGTGAAACTGAAAGTCTTTATTATATTAAGTGACGAAACAAAATACAATTCCCATCCCAACTCCCGCGTCTAGATTGGCACGGACGCTTTTCCGCACAAAGTGCTTTTGCGCAAAACCATCCGTGCCAATCTAGACGGTCTTTTCCGCAAATGCTTTTAACGGAAACACTTTTTCGTTAAAAGCATTTGCGGAAAATCATGCCAGTCTTGATGTAGCCATAGACCTTAAGGTCAGAAGGGACCGTTATGATCATCTAGTCTGACCCCCTGCACAAGGCAGGCCGCAGACTCTCACCCACCCACTCCTGGAATAATCCTCTCACCTATAGCTCAGATATAGAAGTCCTCAGATGATAGTTTGAAGACCTCAAGATGCAGCGAATCCTCCAGCAAGTGACCCGTGCCCCATGCTACAGAGGAAGGTGAAAAATGAGTAGAATATAGGGAATCAGTAGCACACAAGCTTTCACTTCACTCTCACCCTTTGTACAGATTTTGGGGCAACTCCCTGCCCCTTGGGTGCAGCACGCTGGCTCTAAGGGGTGGCTGCTCTCTTAGCTGGTGCACCAGGGGCTGACCAGAATAGACATGCTGGACGTCTTGGCGCTTGAGCTAGGGTTGGGCCTTGGATATGCTGGCGGGGACACACATGCCCTCAGCTGGCAGGGAAGGAAGCCCAAGGGGTATTTACCCCACCTCTCCTCTCCTGTCGTTCCAGGTGTCCTAGCTGCTGTGGGTTACACCCCTTCCCCTCTCCACGCCCACTTGTGGGGCAGCCGTGGGGTTCAGGAAACGCTCCGCTCTGCACCACCGGACAACTGGCTCCCCCCGGCATCCGCCAGAGTTTTAAGGGGGCCCTTCCCCACAGCAGTGTCTGAAGGGGGACTTTGCCCCATCGCTGCTGTCTGTACAGGGCTCCTTCTCCCCCCATGCCCCACGCCGGGGACTCCTGCAGGGGCCCCATAGCAGCAGGGCACTGGGAAAGGAGGCTTTCCAGGGCCCAGGGAGAGCGTTCAGGGTTTGTTTGCATATCACCGAAATATTGCTCAAGGAACAGAGGCGGCGGGGGGGCGGGCGATGGGTGAGAATATCCCACGATGCACCTGGGACTGCTGCCAGAGGGTGCAAAAGCAAGGAGAGTTGAGTTCTCTTTGGAACCCTGCCCAGAAGCAAATTTCGTAGTTGCTTCTGCATGGGCTCTTCGCTCACATGGCCAAGTGGACAACAGCAGCTGCAAAGCAGATATCCGGAGGTTTGTTGGGCTGCTCTGATCTCACTGTGGGCGTCATTCCCACGACAGCGAGAGGCTTGGCCGGCGGCCCAGCACGCCGCTTATATTATGCTTCAACAAGAGCTCCTGCACCCTCTTGCTTTCTTCACTCCAGCCTGTGCGGCAGCTCTTCTCACCAGCTGGCTCTCGGCTGGGGGGGCCGCGCCCCGCTTTCCAACGGCCCGACACCGCCCCCAGCACCGCCACGACCCGTAAGACGCACGTTTCATTTGCCTAGCGACAAGGGGAGCAGCGTTCCTGTCGTGTCTCTTGACGCGGGAACCGTCCCCATGTCAGTTTCATCCATCCCTGTTAAACGGGGTCCAGAGTTGGGGGGGGGCTAGGGGTCTGGCGTGTTGGGAGGGTGGGTAGGACACTTGGGTTCTGCTCCTCGTTCCGCCAGTTTGCTGTGTGATTTTTTTTTGGGCAAGTCACTTTGCCTCTTCGTCACGGCTTTTTCCATCTGGAAAGTGCATTGAGATCTGCTGAGTAAAAGCTCTATAAAATCCAGGAGTTGCTGCTGTTCTTTCTGCTGCTTCGCTGGCCTCAGTCCCCCACTGTCCTGGTTACTTGTCTGCATTTCCTTCCTGCGGTCTGTCTGTGTGATGGAGTGGGGATTTTGTCCTTTCTTGTAGCCACGGTGTTCACTCTGCTTTTGCATTCTGAATTCACCCCCTCCCTCCACTTACCTGGCTGCAGTCTCTTCAAGGTGCCTTCATTTCCTGCCGGCTGCATTCCCACACTTGTCCCTGAGCCCAGAGCAAAGCCCATTCCTCCTGTCCCTTCTACCTTTGCAGGTTGGCACTTGACCAGAGTCTCAGGCCAATCGCCCACTGCTGCCTTGCATGGCGAGTAGGGCACTGTCACGGCACGTGCCCTTCCTTCCTGCGTCTGTTGAAGCAGGGAGTCTTGTGGCCTGGTGAATCCCCCCAGATGTGGGGAGATGCTGTTTTGCATGGACTTGTCCCATAACCCAAGAACGAGTGGCCACCAACTACAATGAATAGGAAGCAGATTTAAAACAAACAGAAGGAAGTTTTTCGTCATGCAGTGCACCGTGAATCTGTGGAACTCCTTGCTGGAGGATGTTATGAAGGCCAAGACTTTAAGGAGGTTAAAAAAAGAGCTAGATAAATTCATAGAGGTTAGGTCTATCAATGGCTAGTAGCTAGGAGAGGTTAGGTCCATCAATGGTTAGTAGCCAGGATGAGTAGGAACGGTGCCCCATGCCTCAGTTTGTCAGGGCCTGGGAATGGGTGACAGGAGGTATCACTTGATGATTACCTGTTCTCTGGGGCACTTGGCACTGGGCACTTTGGGAAGACAGGACACTGGGCTGGATGAACCTTTGGTCTGACTCAGTCTGGCCGTTCTGATTTTCATATGTGGGTAGCAAGGATGGAATTGAGGAAGGATTCGAGAGCATCCCGCAACTCCCTGAAGGAGGATTCCAAAGAGGATGGAGAGAGGCTGTTCTCAGTGGGGCCAGGTGGCAGAACAAGCTGCAGTGGGGGAGGTCTGGGTTGGAGATTAGGAAAAACGATTTCCCTGGGAGGATGGAGAAGCACTGGGACAGGTTACGGAGAGGGTGGAATCTCCATCCCTAGAGGTGTTTAAGGCCTGTCTTGACCACGCCCTGGCTGGGATAATTGAATTGGGGTTGGTCCTGCTTTGGGCAGGGGGCTGGACTCGATGCCTCCTGAGGTGTCTGCCAGCCCTCGGATTCGATGAATGTTGTTGGCTTCCTGTAGTCGACTGTGGTGATCTCACACGCTTTGCGGTGCCCCGGGCACTGGAGGAAAAACTCGGCTTCAGGCGTTGTCCATGAAGTGGTTTTACTCCTGTGAAAGCAGAGTGACCCGCATCGACCGGAGCTCCCCTCTCCGTTCGAATTAGCTGCCCTCACTGGGCCCGCTCTTCGAACCCTGGAAAATCGACCACGGTCTTCCTCAGTCGTGTAGACGTCCCTAAGGTGCCACAGGACCATTGGCAGGAGCAGCCCGAGGCCGGCTGTAGCAGCTGGCACCCCAGGCGGAAGGCGCGATCGGCGCCCCCTCCTGCATGGCCGTCAATGGCCGTGGCATCATCACGGGGCACCTGGGCACCCCGTGACGTCATCATCAGGCATCTAGGCTCACGGGCCACCCCGACCATTGGTGTTTAAATTTGCTGCGCTAAAGAGTAACGCAGCTGCCCCCCCTCGTCCCCAAGGCCTGATAGATTGTGGGGCCAGGGGCTGGTTGGGAGCTGGGCATGAGAGTCAACCGATGCCATGGTGTGTGGAGAACCCTGGTCTGGCTGAACTGGCACAATCCCTCGGCCCTTCCTGCTGTTTACTTTTTCCCACACCACGCTGCCTGGGCGTCCGGCCAAGGGAGCCAGCTGAGAGCAGCAACCCAGAGCGGAGCCTGCTTCGGGCTGAAGGACTCGGGACCTTACCTCATGCAGGCTGGGGGGGCAGCATCTGGCCACATGTGGCTGCTAACAGAGGCAACAAAGGGGAACAGATACCACGGGGGAGGGCGGAGGGTGGCAGCCTCCCCCGGAAGAGGGGTGGGAGGAGGATGTGGGGAGAATCTGTCTCCTTCTCAGTCAGGGGCCACATCTGTGAGGGGGGGCTTTTTGCTTCTCACTTGTGTGCGGCCCCCGACTGACTCTTCTGTGGGTCAGCGCCCCCCACACACACCCAAAAAAGGTTCCCCAGCCCTGCCCTAGAGAGAACATCACCCGTGACAATCATGCAACAGTTTTCTCTAACCCTGGGGCAAACTCCAGCCAGATCTTCAGTGTCCCTCGGACCCCCTCTCCCTACATAGCAAAAACACCTTCCCCCCCGACACATATGCCCCTCCTGGATCGGCACACACCAGACTCTCTGTCCTGGGCCTCACCATCCCCTGCTGGGATCGGCCCGGCCTGTCCGTGCTCTGCTCTGGGGCGAGCCTGCACTGGCAGGTCATGGTGGTGAGTTGGTGTCAGAGCCAGGCAAATGGCTGACATAGGCAGCCCCCGGCTCTCCCCCCTCTCTCCTCCCATAGGCACAGCTCTTCCCTCTCCCTTCGCTCTCCCTGTGCCTCTCCTTCCCCTGCCTGCGCATTGGCTCCCACCCTCCCGGGCCGTGCGGATGGGCGCTGCTCCCCCAGCAGGGCAGGGGACGGAGCTCTCTCCCCAGCCACGCACCGGACACGGATGCTGTGCGGGAAGGGGACAGTCGTCTCCCTCCCCCAGCTACTCAGAACTGAGGCTCACTGGCCCAGAGTGACCCCTGGCCCAGCCAGCTGTCACTGTGGGGAGCCGACTGCTATTCCCTCATAGCGGCTGTCCCAACGCATCCTGAGCATGGAGTCTCCTGTGCGGCGGGGCCCGGCCGCAGGTGCCTGTGGGTGATGCTGTCTGAGCCCCACAGCCCCTGGAATTCCCTGCTGCCCCCAGGGCTCCCTCTGTCCCCAGTGGGACCTGGCTCCCCTGCCCCATGGCAGGGATGAGGTGCAGGGGGGGTAAATTTTGCTCCAGCAGGGGGAAGAGCAGGAATCGGGTTGCGGTCCTCTGTGTCCCTCCTCCAGCCCCTCCCGGCCCCGGGGTGAGTCAGTCTGGGGTGGGCGCCCCCTTCCCACCTGTGCTGGGCCCAAGGGTTGCCCCAAGTGAGGCAGGGGGGCAAATCATGTGACTGTGAAGGTCTGGGGCCTGCCTGGACAGGGGGAGGGCAGCAACTCCCTGCACAGGCCGGGTGCCCAGGTTCCCAACGGGCTGCCGCATTAGGGGTTCAAGGTGGTAACGCTGAGGGACCGAGTTTCCACTGCTCCCTCCCTCCGCAGAACCAGCTGCTGTGAGTCAGCCCCACCGGATTGTCAAAATCCCCCTTTCACCCGGGCCGGCTGCCAGCTTGGAGCTTCCAGCTGCATGGAGAAGAGCTCGCCCAGACCCTGTCTAGGGCTGGGTTGATTCTGAGCACAACTGCAGACTACAGGAAGAGTAACCCACACACATTGGCTTCTGAAATAGCAGTCACGTTGTTTCCCTGCGAGCCAGACTTAGCATTTCTGCGAGCGCCTGTCTGCCCCAGCTGGGATCAGGGCCCCGTCATGCCGGGCGCTGCACAGACACAGCGAGAGACAGTCCCTGACCCAGCTGAGATCAGGGCCCCGTTGTGCCGGGCG